CGCAGCCTGTCCCGACACACTCCCGCAGCCCAGCTGTTCCCCCTGCAGAGGACCTGGGCATGAGGCATCGCCTCTGGGTGTACTCGGGCCGGAGGGGTGTCCACTGCTGGGTGTGCGATGACGCGGTGCGGAAGTGGTCCCCGGCACTGCGGGCGGCTGCCGTGGAATACCTGACCCTGGTGAAGGTGTGTACACAGGGGGCTGGGAACCCTCTGCCCACCCCCCCAGGCTGACTGCTGCTGTCCCCCCAGGGAGGAGCAGAGACCGTGAAGAAGGTGAACCTCTCTGAGCCCATCCATCCTTTTATCAGGTTGGCGAACCGCTCCGAGCCCATCCACCTCTTTACAAGGTCGGTGGGGACCCCTTTGCCCGGCCCCTGCAGTCACCAGCTGTGGGGCGTTGAGCCTGTCCCTGCTCCTCCGCAGGCAGTCGGTCAACGTGGTGGAGAAGTACTTCGAGGCATACGCGCTGGTGGGCCAGGACATCCTGGGCAGCCCTGAGAGCTGGGACAAGGTGCTGGCCCTCGTCCCGGAGGATATCCTTCCCAGAGTGGCCTTGACACAGCTTGATGCTGTGCCAGGTCCAGAGGGAGGGTCTGTGTGGGGGGAGCGGGATCAACAGTGTCTGTGATCAGCCTTGACTGCCGGCCACAGCACCGCGAGCCACTGCAGGGCGAGTTCCCCAAGAAGCGGGACTCGGTGCAGCGCTGGGAGCTGCTGAAGGGCAGGATGGAGTGAGGGTCAGGATGGAGCGGACGCGGGTGAGTGGCTGTGGAGCTGCCCCAGGTGGGGGGCCAGGTGCTGCCGCCTGCCCCACTGCCCCCTGACCCGCCTGTCCCTGCAGCGGTCTGGGGGGACCGGGAGGAGCACGCCATGCTACGCGGACTGGGAGATCATGCTACAGTACTGCTTCCCCCGCCTCGACATCAACGTCAGCAAAGGCGTCGGGCACCTGCTGAAGAGCCCCTTCAGTGTCCACCCCAAAACAGGTGGGTCTGGTGGCCTGTGGGGACAGCACCCCACAGGGACCCCTGGGGCCGGGCACCCCTCGTGGTGACTCCCCTCTCTTGCAGGTTGCATTTCAGTGCCACTGGATCTCCAGAGGCTGGACCAGTTTGACCCATTCACTGTCCCCACCATCAGGTACATGAGCGGGGCTGGCAGCACAGGGAGTCCTGGCTGTGCTGCCCCCCCCCCCCCCCACCATGTTCTTCCATCTCCCGCAGCTCCTTGTGCCACGAGCTGGACACGGCCGGCGATGACAGGGAGCAGGAGGATGGTGGGGAGACAGAGCCAAAGCGCCGTGTGCGAGGTGAGCAGTGCTGGGGCTGGGGCACAGGAGTGTCCCCACTGCCTGCTCCTGCTCACTTCCCAAATCCCCCAGACTACAAGAAGACAAGCCTGGCACCCTATGTGCGGGTCTTCGAGCAGTTCGTGGAGGAGATGGAGCATGCCCGGAGGGGAGAACTGCTCCGGAGAAGTGGTAAGTGCTGGGCAGGGATGCAGCTGGCTGGGGGACCCCGAAGGAGACCCCCTGGCTCTGAGAAACTGCTCTTTTTCTGCAAAACTTTCAATTTCTTCTCTTTGCAGACCTGCAAGGAGACTTCTGAGGCCTCGCT